TAGACAAGTTGCAAAACAAAAGAAACGATCGCAAAAGTTMTTTGATGCACGTGGGCATTTAACCTGATAGCGCTGTGGCCCTCTATACACTCACATCCCCTATATTGATTGTTTTAACAATTTTTSAAGGGAAAAAATCTAAAAAAATCTGCCCATTGTTGTCGTCAGTGCAATGACGCGCAAAAATATATTCATGGAGCTGGGGAAACCCCCGGGAAACCCCTCAGCAGCATATGGAGAAATACCACTAAGAAAGGAGCAAACAGGCTCATTAAATCACACTTCACACCAATAAGCCAACTCAAAATGAGCTTCAAAGTCATCGATCACATCCAAAACGTTCCATATACACAACTAGAAGTAACGGAGGGTCAGAAGACAGTGTCCATCCAATTTGCGAAATGAACGGCAAAATAGGACTTGAAATAACAAATTCAATGACCACCCATTTTGTAAGAGAGAAAAAATGAAGTCCTGATTTATTAAATGGATCCTATACAAAGTTAATTATATGCCTTACTTATCATTTTCGRAGAAAAGATACAAATCCATAAGAGATTCTGGTTGGTTTTAGGTTCTTGTTGTAGATGTTACGTATCTGATCTCACCTGCAATATTTTAATTGTATCGATTGCTTGTTTTAAACGAGGATTTGTATGAAAAMGAGGCGAAAATGAAAGTGCGGAAACTGATTTGTTCGAGCGTAAATGATCATGGGTAATTTGCTAATCCAAATTAATCTTATTTGAAGACCTCACTACAGAAAAAACAACAACAATTATAGAGAAAGTTGATTATATACAGTTTTTGTCATTTTCGTATTCGATGAGATGATGACATTCCAAAAYTGCATTTTTAAGGACATCTTGTCCATTGTATGTACAAATAATTTATAATATTAACATAAACATTTARCCGCAATTTCATTTCCGAAGTRGGAAAAATGGCTTTACCCTTCTCTGGTTGCTCTGTAGTTGTAAACAATTTTTTTWMCSKKGSSKTWAMMARKTTWMMARRKTTKSYTYSSSGRWTYKRWTTYMA